GAAAGGTCCAGAGTCTTCCCTGGGAACAGCTTCCAGGGCTTCGCCAATAGGCCTGCAGTGTATGGAAATTCCTCTAAGTCCTCCTTAAATTCTTCTCAGCAGCACTAAACACATTGCTTTGTTTCAAGTTACGATCTGGCTAAGGAGCCCTGGCTGGCCACTGGAAACTAGGCTGGTCTCGAGCCTTCTGAACGCAGAGATTGCAGGAGCCATGTTTCCGTGTCTTCCTTATGAATGTGGAGATTATAGGCATGCACTGCTTTCCCCAGCTCCCCTGCCCCACCCTTTACCCTTTCTGTCTCTTTCTATATGCTCCTGCAAATACGCATTCAAATCAGAAAAAACTAATTTTAAAAGAGCAACCCATAGAAAGACAAGACTTGGGAAGTTGAGCGGAACACAAACATTCCTGACATTTCAGCTTTGGCTACCAAGGCCTCAGAAAGACATTGACTCAGAGAAACAGATGAGGTGGCCTCTTACTCTGATGAAGGTTGTTTTTTGCTTTGATTTTTTTTTTTAAAATATTTTATTTATTATGTATACAATATTCTGTCTGTGTGTATGCCTGCAGGCCAGAAGAGGGCGCCAGATCTCACTACAGATGGTTGTGAGCCACCATGTGGTTGCCGGGGATTGAACTCAGGACCTTTGGAAGAGCAGGCAATGCTCTTAACCGCTGAGCCATCTCTCCAGCCCCTGCTTTGATTTTTTTTTTGTCGATATGTCAATATTAGGAAGTTTTGAATGACAGAGCAAGGCACTCCAGGTTGGAGGGTGAACTGGATGCTGTCTGCACACATTTGGGATGTGGGGTGAACACTCATGTCACCTCTCCAGGTCAGAGGGAAACTTAACGACATAAGGAGCTCCACGGGTATCAAAAAAAGTTGCCCATGGATTTAGGCTAGACTCCTGGCAGGTGCTTCAGGTGCTCTGTTGATTCCTGTCCTCCCTCATAGGGCTCAGGCTCATTTACTAGGGCAACTGGGATCTGGACACAGATTTTCTTCAGTGACACCAAGCTTTACAGGTTAAGCGTCCGATGATAGAACTGTGGCCACATCCTTCTTTTCTAGAAGCGTTATGCTAAGAGTGCTCAACTTTACGTGACTGCATGAAGTTATTCATGTGTCTGTCTTGTTCCCAGCACCCTGAGGCGACAGCCAGAAAGAGGCAGTGAGCAGCTGAAGTCAATTCAGCTTACTTCCGTGACATTTGTGCTACAGGCTTACGTGCTTCTGGGAGTCTGAGGGGAAGGCAGAAGCTCCCGAAATCATCTCAAATAGCTGCCGACTGCAGTGGCACCTCGGCCACTTCTCAAGAATCTCTCTCGGTTGGCCAACTTGTGCCAACCTGTTTGCTTCTCTGTGAGAGACAAATGATCCCTCCAAACTCAATTCCTGTGCTTCCAAACTTTTCCAGGTAAATGTGGCCTGGAAAATGCTCTTATCCATCCCTCCCCAGCTCTGGGACTCCAGGCCAAAATGTTCTAAAAAGTACTTAGTCCAAGAATTATGACAAATATTCAAAAATTATTATTATATTATTTATATTTTATTATTAATATTATTTCAATATTTCTATATTTTGGTGTCTAACCTTATTACTCTATGAACACAAAATATCAAAACCAAAAGTATGACAGGGGAGTCCAGACCAAAGTACCACAGAGATACCTGCACATCCGTGTTTGTTTCAGCCCAGTTAGATGCCCAGAACAGATGAATGGATAAGGAAAATGTGGTAAGTATGTAAAATGTAGTCTTAGTCAGCCATAAAAAAAAGAACAAAATTACATCCTTTGCAGGAAAGTAGATGTTGCAGCTAACTCATGCAGATGTAGAGTTCACCATGCTACATCTTTTGCAGGAAAGCAGATGTTGCAGCTAACTCATGCAGATGTAGAGTTCACCATGTTACATCCTTTGCAGGAAAGTAGATGTTGCAGCTAACTCATGCAGATGTAGAGTTCACCATGCTACATCCTTTGCAGGAAAGCAGATCATCTAACTCGCATGCAGATGTGAAGTGAAACAAGCTTTATTTGCCTGAAAGGCCAATACGAGGTTTTCTCTCTAGATTTGTAGATTTGTAGAATCTAGATTTGAATATATATGGCAAGAAAGTAGAATGGAGACTATGGGATTGGGGAGGAAGCAGTCTAAAGAGGGAGGGTAATAGGGTAATAGAGACAGGCGAGAAAGAATTGTACATCTTATTTCATATGTAGAATATGAATTTAAGGATGTGTCCATGTGCACAAGCATGCAGGCACATGCAAGGTGGAATGCTTGGGGGAACAAGGAGACCAGCGTGAGTGGTGGAAGACAAGCAAAGGAGGGGCAGTGGGGAACAAATATCAGCCAAGTGCAATGAATATATATAACATTTCCATAACGACACCCAGTATTTGTAAACTAACTAAAATATTGATAAAATGAACACACAAAGGTATGGAGTTGAGATGCCTGTGCCATTTAAAGCCCAGAGCTTGTTCCACATGGGGTGGAGAACAGAACTGTAATACTGAATAAAAGAACTTTGTGAGAAGGAAGAAAAATGCTAATGTTAAGTGTGGTGTTTGTCCAATAGCTTTAGTCTTGTTTCTCCCAGTTACACTGAGGCTCACTCTGCCATGGTGTTTGGAATCTTTCTATATGTGTGTGTGTACACATGTACACGTGTGTACACTGTGTGTATTGAAACATATCCTAAGCAGTTGCTGCTACGACAAGAAGTCCTCCAAGGAAGCAAGAGGAAGATGCCTCTGGCAACACTACATGCCAATATCAGCCTGGGCACCAAGGGCACAGTGGTTACCACACGAGCCATGCTAATGAGGTGTGACTTGAGTTGTAAGGGAGGATCTCCAATCAGGAGCAGCTAAGTGCAGTCTCCGGAGGAACAGAGGGAGGGTCTGTGAAAGCTATTGGGTGGGTGGGGGATGGGGAAGGCCGTCCACGCTGTGAACTGTTTGTAGACTGAACAGAAATTAGCCATGCTCACGGGAGAAGATACAGGAAGGCGGGAGTTCTAGGAAGAGAGACTAAAAATGAGAAAGCGTTTCCCACACAGGGTGGGGGAGCATGAGCTTCCTGATTGCCAAATGCAATACTCTTTTGACTTTAGAGGGTTCAAACTAATTGTTCTCAAATTATGTATCAGTAATTAAATTTTTTTTGGACAAGTCATCTCAGCTGTCTCCATTCAGACTCTCCCAAGAGCAGCTTGCTAATCAGCAGTAACCAAGCTGCTATTCATGATCTCATTTCCTATTCCAGAAGGGTGGCTTCTAAGCCCCCAAGCTTGGATTTCAGAAAGGCATGCGAAACACACCCCACAGACCACTTCGCTATAAACTCCTCCACAGATTCCTAGCAACCTCATGGGCCACATGTCAGCAAGTGGAAGGCTCCTCGGCTTGAAAAATTGTAGTTCAATGTACATTTCCCCTGTACTGTCTCACTCAGCCAAATCAGCTCCCAGGCTGCAGGTCATGGAATTCAGCCTAATAAGGGCGCAGTCTAAAACGCAGGCAAGCTACACACGATGATAAGGTAATCGCAGCACTTATTTGTAATAGTGGTAAAATTGTAAGGCAGAAAAAACAGCAACCTTAAATGCACCTAAATGGGTGAGTGATTAGATAACAATGATATATCCGTTTCTGGAATTTATTCAGCTCTTAGCAAAGATAACAATTTACCATGACATAGGAAACGCAAGGAAGGACACAGATCGTGGGAAAGTAAAGTACATGGCATTATGTGTATATTAAGATTGCAACTGTGCAACATATATAAATAAGACAATGCCGGAGAGAAATCCCATCAGCACAAGAACAATAACTGCTGTGTGTGTGATGCGATTATGAGTTCCCAATTTCTGTAACACATTTATAACAGGTTTGTTATTGGAATCCTGTTGAAAGCATTAACTCTTAAAGTCTGTAATAGGATCATCTTTCAAGTCCAAGCAGCAAGTCCAAGGCTACAGAGACAAGTCTGCGTATGAATCATTTGCACTGTCCTGTGTGCCCTGACAATGAGTACACGGGCAGCATTCCATCCCTATGATGAACTGAACCATCTTCAGGGCAAGATGTCCTGCAGTCTCTGGACTTGGTGTTTTTGTTTGTAATCTCAACACACACATGAAAATATAAGTGTGTGTGTGTGTGTGTGTGTGTGTGTGTGTGTGTGTGTGTATGTGATGGAAAAGTAGACTATCCTGAGAATGATATCCGAGAATATAAAATCAAAAGAGTCATTAAAGTTGAACTTGAACCAGATTTCAACAGTATTTAAGCCATGGAATCATCCCATCATTCTTGAGGTTCTGGGTAAAGCAATGACCTTCTCAAGGGCCAGGTGAGCATAGCAGGAACCTGGGATTCTGAAAGCTTTTTTACTTCCTGATTAAATATATATATTTAATATATAAATATATTTATTAAATATTATATATATATATCTCAGTTTCTCAAAATTTTTGCCATTGATGGAGACAGCAACTCAAACCATGGGGTGAAAGGGAGGCTGTTAACCCTCAGGGGACAGCCAGAGAACAGAGGTGTTTTTTCTTTCTTTAGGCACAATGAAAGTTTAATTTGAAAAGAAGGAGCTCTTTCCTCTCTGAGGGAGACTGCATGGGTTTTATTGACACAGGAGATATTTAGGTTACAATGCTGTTAGCTCCTTCCAAGCAGAAAGAATAGCTAATGGTAGCCGCGGAAGTGCCTTTTCTAGAAGTTCTTAACAATAGGTTATATATACATCTGACCTTGACCACCAGAGGCATGATGTACATAGAAATAGAACGAGCAAAAATAGCATACACACAAAATGCCTTGGCGTGTCCCAGCCATTGTTACACAGGTTTGGCTAGACAGAGACATAAAACAGCAGACAACCCCTTTCGTCCTTCACCAAATCTACCTCAGTAGCACATTCAATAATCACGGAAGAAACCAGGAAAGCGGCCCCAGAGGGACATACCTGTACTAGGAGCTCCAGCTTCCTGTCATCAAGGAGATGTACCTGACATCGACGGCCCTCCGTCATCTGCGGGAGAAGACAAACAGTGGTCACGGGGAATCTAAGAGTCAGACGACGTTCTCGAAGGTCTGTGGGCTGAAGTCCACCCGGCACCATCCCGTGGTTGAAGCTTCCCTCACTGGGAGTTGGTCATGTAATGCCAAGACGTGGCTGGGCTGTTGTTATGGAGTCCTTTCTGTGTACCAACTGGTTTGATGGTACTTGTTAGACAATGGCACACATGGTATCTGGGCCTTCAGGTGTTTCTAACACATGGAGCAGATGTGAAATGAACAGCACATCTTTAACATACTGCTGGATGGTGGTGTTATTCAGCCTTCATCCACTCCTTAACATCTGTCACCATGAACAAAAGGCAAAGCTCGGGATCCTCCATCTTCAATTCATTGTCTCCCTTGAGGCCTAGCCTAACTGGCAAACCCTAGGCCAGAGAGACTGTCTCAAGAAACAAGATGCTAGAGAATATCACCTGAGGTTGACCTTTGGCCTCCACATGGGTGTATATGTATAGATTGTACTTGCACACACTTGTATAACACAAACACATCCACACACACACACACACACACACACACACACACACAAAGTATGGATAATGGTAAGGTATAGTAAGAGTTAGGATTTATAGACTTTGATTATTACCTTTATTTTTAAGATAATAATCAGTTTAATTTAATTATCAAATTTTAATTTTGATAATGGCTAGATTTTACACATATTATCCCAAAATTCTGTACAAAAAAAAATGGCAGTTGGATTTCACTAGTTGGATCCAGTACCACTGCTGAGGTTCAATGATCTGTAGGCCCCTTCCAGCTCAGTATTTTACACGACTCTACAGCAGCGGTTCTAAACCTGTGGGTCATGACCCCTTTGGGGGATAGAATGACCCTTACACACATGCCACGTATCAGATATTCATGTTATGATTCATAACAGTAGCAAAATTACAGTTATGAAATGACAACAAAAACAATTTTATGGTTTGGGGTCAGCACAGCATGAGGAAGGGTATTAAAGAGCTGCAGACTAGGAAGGGTGAGAACCACTGCTCTACCGGCTCTCTAAGAATCGCTCTTTACCCTAGTGACCAGCTACAGATACGTGAAGTATGTGGAAGGATGCACTCTAGACCCATGCCTGATCACTCTTTATCAAAGTCCTTGTTCAGGGAAGATGGAAAAGACACCACATCATATTCCCGTGAATTATTCCACCAACAAGTCCCAAGCTATCCTGGAATCCCATGAGAAAATACCCTCTCTTCCTCTTTCTTCCTTCCATCACTCCAGACCTCTTCAGTTGGGATGCTAAGTCAGACTGCTGTTTGGACGCCTAATCGCAAAGGGCTCTTCATTCTGAGAGCTATCAATGACTCAGTAGACAGGTTTAAAGTAGGGGGGGAGACTTCAGCCTCTAGGCTTGCTATTTTGCAAATACGAGCTCAGTAAGGTAGCCGCAGGTATGATATACCTCTATGAGAAGTCCTCTTCTGACCTTTGAGTCTTAGGCGACTCCAGCAACTCCATTAGCCTTGATCATAGAGACATCCCAAGTTGAAGTTATTTAAAAACAACAACAAAACCCCATCTTTATGTCAACCACTCCCTTTTTGAGTTGAATGAAAGCCATTACAACTTTAAATTAGGTCGAAATCTATGCTGTTACGCCAACATTTAGAATTGATTCTTTCATCCAAAAATGTCACGTCAGAAATGCTAACTTCCAGTAATAACAGGGCACCTAATAGTCATGGTATAGTGACTTTGGATATGATTTTAGAACTATTGCCATTCAGCTCTCACAAACACCATTGTGTATGAGCGAGTCCTAGGAAGGAATGTGGTACAACCATTTTGCATGCTATTTTGAAGTTCTCTAAAAACAAAGAAAACATTCATCACAGGCCTGAGAAGGTGACCTATGTCCATGATTCCAGCAGTTCAATGGTAGAAGGAAGGAAATCAGGAGTTTAAGGCCATTCTATGCTACGTAGCGATTCCGAGGCCAGCCTAGGGTAGATGAGACCCACTCTCAACTAAAAATAAAGAAGCAAAACTGAACAAATAAAAATAAATACATTAGGAAGTTTAAAGTCATCTTTGGCCCTATATCAAGTTCTGCGCCAGCCTGTGGTACACAACAGTCTATCTCAAAAGTGAAGAGAGCAAGAGAAATTTTGCAGAGAAAATGCTGTTTGGCCTTTCCACCTCTCCAACATTAAGTTTAGCTTTATTCCATGGTAAAAGTCTAAACATATACGTAAGAATTTGGGTATTTAATCACACCCTAATAAATTTTATGAAAACAAATTGGTACCTGAAAGACATCACTGTACCAAATATAGTTGGCTTTTGTTTTGAGAAAGGGTCTCACTGTGTAGCCCAAGCTGGCATGAAACTTGTTATATAGATCAGGCTGGCCTATAACTCAGAGAGAGTCTGCCTCTGCCTCTACAGAATTTGGATTAAAGGCATGTACCGCCCAGTTATAAGAAGGAAGAAGGCTGGCATTTGATCAAAATATACCATTGCACATAAGGTTCAGACTTAAAAGTTTACCTCTTAGATGTCTTCGTCTGAAAAATACAATTACCACTAAAATTAAATAACATTGTTTTATCTTCTCGCTACGTTGAGTAACTATGTACTCAGATGTTGATGTATAATTTATTGCAAGTTTGTTTCACGCCTCCCTTGCAGAAAGCAAAAGCCTCTCTTGCAGAAAGCAAAATTACCCCACCAAAGTTGGCGCGGAGAGGAGTCGGAACAGAGCCCTTTCGCGGAGAGGAGTCGGAACAGAGCCCTTTGAGTCATGACGGAAGGCACAGCTCTCCTCTGAGAGCACCACTGTGGTTCATGTCTCAAAAAGGCACCTGTTCATTGTCTCCTTCTCAAGTAAGATCGGAGCACCCGGTTTTCATCATCAGTTCAAAGCAGGCTCACCCTTGTGGGTGCATACAAAGATCAGACATCTGTAGCATTGTTTGGTTTGCTAGGCACCCAGAAATTTCTTCTCAGCCCTCACAATTGTAAATTAATACTGCCCCCCCCGCCCCACTTACAGCTGCACAGGCACAATGGGAGCCCTGGCAATCACCCTCAAAGGAAACCCTCGGAGAGCGAGGCTGAGCGTAGACAGCAGCTGGCTCCGGTTCTAACCATAAATCACTTTGCTGCCTACGCCTATAGTAACCTGGGCATGCCAAGTACTCTGTCATTTTTAGGCATATTGAAGAAGTGTTATTTTGGAAGCAAGGCGTCTAACTTTGCTGTTAGGACACACATGAACTCATGAAGACCAGACGCACGAACGGGGAAAGGTAATATAGTCAGATATGAAATGATCTGTGTATGATAAAGTTACCAATAAAACCGTCCTGCACAGGAGCAGGGATCAGGAGAATAGCGGAGGATATATGAAGACATAGGAGGTAGAAAGCTTCTGGCTTAGGGGTGGGGCCTCTCTACCTGCCCCTGCTGTGTTAAAAAATAACAACAGAAAAACAATGACACAATGAAACTCATTACTTTGTATGCTAACCTGAAAGTATCAATAATAATAATAATAATAATAATAATAATAATAATAATAATAATACAGTTAAAAGATGATTCAAAAAGGTGAAGGTGTTGTTAGAGATTAGCCACACGGAATAGGGCAGACAAGACTGCTCCTCAGTCAATCAGTTTAATAGTACCTATTTTATTTTTCTGAAAATTTTAGCAGAAACTTTTTTTTTTTTTTAATTTTTTTTTGTTGTTTTTGTTTTTTGAGACAGGGTCTAACATAGCCTTGGTTGTCCTAAAATTCCATATGTAGACCAGGATGGCTTCCAAATCACAGCGATCCGCCCACCTCTTCATCCCAGGTGCTAGAATTAAACACATGAGCCACCATGCCCAGCACAAATTTTAGTACTTTTAATTAGATGGAGGTTTGTGTGTCTGAGCGATTGCGTGTGCGGTGCTCACAGAGGTCAAACATGGTGTCGGAGCTCCTGGAGCTGGGGCACACATGCAGGCAGAATGCTGTATACATAATAAATAAATAAAATCTAAAAATAAAAAAAAATAAATAAATAAGAGAATATACTCACAGTACAAAGGGAAAATTAGGGCCTGGAGAGGCTTCCAGTGTCTGAGGACATTTCTCGCTCCTGTAGAGGTTCTGAGCTCAGTTCCCAGCACCTACTTAAGGTGGTTTTCAACCATTTATAACCCCAGCTCCAGGAGCTCCAACACCATGTTTGACCTCTGTGAGCACCGCACACGCAATCGCTCAGACACACAAACCTCCATCTAATAGTACCTATTTTAACACAAACCCAAGTACATTAGAGGGCTGGGGAGATGGCCGTTTGTAAAGTGCTTGCCTTGCAAATACAAGGGACTGAGTTCCATCCCCAGAACCTATGGGAAAGACGCCAGTAAAAAGCCCTTCCGACGACCTCCCAGGACTTAGGGGAGATAGTTCTCACCCAATGGTCCCACAGATGACCCCGATGAAATGGGTCACAAAACAAAACCCAAGGTCATAAATCTGGGAGAGGGATTGGCAGGATGGTGGGTGAGCTGATAGGGATAGGAGGAGATAAAGGGGTGAAAAGTCATCAGGATTCCTTCTAGGCATGTATGAAATTGACAGATAACAAAATTAACCAACAGGGAAAAACAAAACAAAACAAAAAAACCTGGGCATGGTGGTGTAAGTTTGTAAACTGAGTACTGGGGAAACAGAGCCAGGAGGATCCCTGGGGCTTGTGTCACCTCCTTGGTAAATTCCAGGCCAATGAGAGACCCTGTCTTCAAAACACATGGTAGGCAGTGACTGAGGAATGATACCTGGGGTTGCCCTCTGGCCTCCACATGGGCAGGCATACCACTCCAGACAAACATACATGTACACAATGTATGCACAAGTGCCCATGTGCACACATACAAGTAATTTACAAATCACAAATGGAGTTGCCTTTGGCCATAGTATACAAGACTGGATGTTGGGAC